AGTAATTTTGTTAACCAACTATACAAAATTTCTTATTAATAGTAACCTAGGGATATATAGAATGAACTTCTAGTTGTCTATTAATGAATATGCCATAAGTTTGCTTTTATCTAAATTTACAAACATTTGCATGTAAGGATTACTTAAAAATTTTTTTTTTTTTAAATAACTTGTTTATATACATATATATATAAATTTATAAATTTATAAATTTATTGTTTTATGAATTATTAGGAATATTATACCAATTGTTATATATGTATATATTCAATGGTAAAGTGAATAATTTAGTCATGATCAGAGAGCATAAATAATATTAATTGATTATTTTTATTATCAATTTTTTTGGATTAAATGAGATATCAATGAATGATATCAATGAATTTGCAGGTAAAGAAAAAAAATTATTGAATTTGTATATAGTATTAAAATCATTTATCAGGTTACTGATTTTTATGTGTGTATATTATATTTAATAGGTAAAAGGAATAACTTGGTCAGTTATAAATTATAAACACATTTATTTGTGTATATTAATTATATTTAATGAGTAAAAGAATAACTAGATTGGTTATAAATTATGTATGTATATTATATTTAATGGGCAAAGGAATAACATGGTTAGTTATAATTATAAACACATTTTATTTGTGTATATTAATTATATTTAATGGGTAAAAGAATAACTTGTTCGGTTATAATTATAATAAACATTATTATTATTAAATAACTATTACAGAAAAAATTAATGTGTACATATATATATTAAAGTTATCTATCAGGATAATATAATATATGTTAAATTGCAAAAATGTCATCTCATACTGTTTAGCCCCATATAATTCGGAAGTTTATGACCAGTCAATAAAGCTCTCGCCATGATTTTCTCGTTTTTCTCTTCCTTTAAAGATAGTTTATATTTATTAACGAAGGATCTGCATAAATTTAGCCAATCAAATTTCTTCTAAAGAAATTCCAGAACTTTTATCATTTATAAATTAGGAAATATCATATTTAGCATATACCCTGACTGCAATAATAAGACTATACGACATGTAACACAGGTACAGTGTCGTGACCCGAAACTCTGAGTTTAGGGAAAACCAGAAACAGAAACTAACAGAAACCACCCGAAACTAGTTTAGGTTAGTATTTTATGTTTAGGTTTATGTTTATGTTTAGTTTCTGCTTAGTGTAAGTTCATTTTCCGAAACGTTTCGGGAAGCCAAAGGAGTTTCTGGTCACAACACTGCACAGGTATAAATGATAATAATAAGAAATAAAATCATAAATGAAGGAAAATAAAAATAAATAATAAATAAAAAAACAGAAATAGAATTAATTATAATTTGACCCGGAATTGCGAGATTCGTCCAAAATATCTTTGTCAGAATCTAATTCCGGTCTGGTAACACTATTACTATAATAATAATAAAATTTTTTTTGATTGAGAATTAAAAGCTTGTTTGTTACATGAAAATAATGGAATATTTTTCTTTAACAGTCAGTGTGCAAATCCTAAAAATTAAGGAGCAGGTTGTTTTGCCAGAAATTTTGGCTGATCAACATTGAAATTTTACTAATAAAAAACTCGAATTGAATGTCCTCAGTCCCTTATTTTATACCCTTGTTTTGTATCAATTGTCACCAAAATTTCCATGTTGTTTATTTTTCATGTTCTTTATTTTGCAAAAAATTTTCAAGTAAGGTTAATAAAAGAGCAGTAAAGAATCAAGGTCTCAAAGTTTTTTTTGACTTTGTGTGACAATAGAAGTGCAAATGGGGATTCACATCTTGTGTGTAAACTTGTAAAACTAGTGAAATACTTAAATATTTTAAATATTATGATTATATTTAAAGAAATTTTAAATAATGAATAGTTTGACAAATAAATTTTTATTTTATTTTATTTTTTATTACATTTTTATTATATTTCTTTGTTATATTAATTACACAGGAAGGATGTTTGTTAATAGATACTTGTCATGTATTTATAATCACATCAGGAAATTAATTTAGTGTAAACTTGCATAAATCTTATGATGTCGATGTAATATTGTGTAAATCTTACAGCATTGATGTAAGTTTTACACTTTTTTATTATTAAACTTACAATTGACACATGCAAATTTTTTTATATTTTCCAGATGCAATTATTATACTCATTATTTGAGTTAATTATATATTATATTATTAATTTGATTCTTTTATTATAGATATAAAGAATAATTAAATAGAATCAGGATAGAGATACTTGTAATTTATAATTAAATTAATATTCATATTAAAACTTTTGACTTTTTTGTTAAATCATTTTAAATCTTTTGAAATTTTAGAATTAACTTTTTTTATTATAATAATATATTGAAGATAGAATTGACAAGATATGGCAATGACATAAATTATGATGATGCTTACCAACCAACCTTTAGACACACGATCCAAATAATACTGATCAAGAATATAGATGTTAGTCACAACTTTTGATGGTGGTCACAATAACCTTTGTGATCGTAATAACCTTTTTGATCATTTTGCTTTCTTCTTTGAATTGTAATATGGAGAACAATAAAATTAGAACAATAAAAACACATATAGACCATGTGGGATTTAGTTAATTTGTTAGATACATTTAATGTTGCAGATGATAAAACATGAATGCAATATATAGAAAACAACAAAACCTTAAGTGACATGTGGAGTCATGAAATTGCTCAATAAAAAGTAATAAAAATATACATTTTTTACATATATATATTTTTTTGAAAATTCCATTAAGTGAGTCATCTTTATGGTACTAATGAAGTCTAAAGAACAAGGTTCACTTTGGTTTATTGACTATAGTAATCAGCATCAAGCTTGCCTTGTTGAAAAGAATCAATGTTTTTAGTGTAAATTTTTTTATATATTTTGACCACTATTGTGAGTTTGAAAAGCAGCTTTATTTTAAATAAAAGGTGCCAAAATATTTATCGAAACTTCAAGAAAATTTTTTATATATATCATTTTTTTAATCTATTAAGAAGTTTATGTGTTATAAATTAAAGACTAGTGCCATAAATTATGGTGATGTAGTAATTGTATTTACAGCATATAAAAAGTGGTTGCAATTACCTTTGCGACCACTTTTGCAACATACCTTTTCCTTTTTTGTATTACAGCACTAGTCTTTATTATAAATGTTAAAAGAAAATTCTTGGCATTCAAGCAAATGTTACATGCACTAATTAAAAAAAAGAGAAAGGATTTGCACACTGACTGTTATCATACCACAAGAATCAAGTGAAATTAACCAATGAAAATCATGCATGCAACATTTCAATTTTTAATTATTTTGAAATAATAATTTGCTTATTTTCTAAAAATTTCTTTCTTTCATCAGGACTGATTAGATTGATCTCACAACTTATTTTCACCAAAATCCAATCATCTTGATATAATTAATAACATATAATATAGAATTTATATAATATATATCTTGATTACCACATACTATACAAGGACTAAAATTTTTTCAACTTACACCTTTATTCATTTTATTAATGATAAATGATAGTTAGAAATGTTGTTTATTTATTATTGCTTGAATTATTTATATATTAGTTTTATTTCTTATGTTATGCATTAAATTAAATGTAGATCATCACAAATTTGGATGTTATGGCAAATTTTTTATTAATAAAAATCAAAATCCAATTCTGCTCAGGAAAGAACAAAAATGGCAGAACATTTGTGCAAATTTTGAGGTGGTGTTATATCAGTCGGGAATTTTGCTATAAATGGTATTGCAGTTTTTGGGGAAGATCATCATTCTAGAAAAAACAAATAAATTCTAAAAATT